TTCACTTGAGGTTTTAACTGAACAAAGTACCTGTTGGAAATCTTGCACACAGGCCTCTGTTGTTGTGTTATTCCCATTGACAGGAATTCAGATACCTGGATCAATTCTGCTTTGTTTTTTGCTAAAATCTCTATCTTGATAATATTTTACATTTCTTCTAAGAACCTATATTCCCAATGAAATGGATTTAGGAAAACAGGACCTATAGAACTAAGCGCTCTTGAATCTCTATTATGATTTTTTGTGGTGCTTTTTATATTCATAATGCTTTGTTCCCACAGAAATAATACTCCTTGTTTAGAGAAAAAAAGCTGTATTTTCTTTACTCTCAAAGATACCAATAAAGAAACCCAATCTCTTCTATGCCTATGTCCTTTAAAGTCCTGATCCCTCTTGTACATTTCATAGTAGAGCTTTTTCAAAGTCAACAAACATTGTCTTAATAGGAAATTCAACTGGACTTATGTTAATTGGGTTTTTCTAGATCAACTTGAAAGTAGGGCTGCCCATCTTATTTGTTTAAACAAATATTTCTTATAATTGTTATGAAAACTGGGCCTGTTATAGACTGATAATTGACTTGAATGATCAGGAGTTATGTTTGTCAACATCACTGAGTCAGCTTTTCTAGGAGCAGAGACTGAAGAATTAGTTCTGAGATTGGATATTTTCCATCAGGCTTTATTTTCTATATCTTGTTCTCCTTTAACCACCTGGTTAGCTTTTATCACAGATACTTTTTGAGGAATAAGCAACCACATGATTAATGAAGATGGAGAAATTTTAAATTTTAATGTTACCTTTATAAATTTTCCTTCCCTTGCCTGGTTCTCATCCTTCTCAGCTGCCTAAAAAAGTATAAGGAGCATTCACATTCCTGTGAGATCTGTACGTTTAGGTTAGAAAACAGAGACAAGTGTGCTTTTTAGTAGTCATGTAAGTAAACACAAATACCTGTCAGCCCACCAGACTTCTTCCCAGCAAGTGGCAGTGGAAGAAAAAGGTAATAAAATACATGTTTTGTTACTCTCTTTGGTAAAAATTTGTCTATGGGACTGTTAACACTGAGTTTATGATCTTGATGATTTCGAATGGTTCCTAGGAATTCTGAATGAAAGATTTGTTGGTGGTTTCCAGAATGTTTAGGTCTCTGGATGGAATATCTTCTGTGCTTACTAGAACCTTTTCTGTGAATTATAAAATTGTATTAGGGAAAAAAAATTAAAAAATCCCTGATTATTCTACTACAGCAATACAACCACTGTAATTTTGGTATACAGTTGTGTTGCTTTACATGCATTTTCAGACTTTTGTATATTCACCTGTGCTTACTCGAACACTATCCCCCTCTCCCCTCATCCCACACTGTTTTCCTTCTCATGGGGTGAACATGGGAGGTGGGGATGAGACTCGGCTATGGCTTCAGTTGGTCTGTTTCCAGGTTTCTATGAGCGTTCATTGTGCTGGCTGTGCTTTTATTATTTAAAATGATATATTTTTCATACATTACGGCCCTTAAATGCAAACCAACCTCTTCATCTGGTGTCAACCAAAAGGAAAGTGATGTGTTGCAACGCTGGAGGAAAAACTGGCAATGTTCGACTTACCTATATTGAAAGATGGTATGTTGTTCTTCATTTTCGGGTCTTCAAGTATGATTTTGGCAGTGCATGGTTTTCATCTCACATGCTGACTTTTGTCTCTAACATGTGAGTTAGATGTAATTCACTGTATTTATTCCAGTCCTTTTTCCTATAAATATTTTACATAATTATCCACAGGGGTATATTCATTTTTAAAGTTTTTGAAATAGACTAAGTCAAATATCTTTCCATATTGCTATGTAATTTTTATAGCTATCATTTATAACAAGTCTTTTTAGTTTTTCTCTTTTTAGAAGAATTTTGGAAGCCCATACAATCAGTTCTTGAGAGTGAATGCTTTCTAATTTGCAAACTCAGGCCTACTTGCAATGTTCTGCTATAGATACTTTAAAACAGGAGTAACTGTTGTACAGTTAATTTCAATATGTCTTAACTACAGATAAGGACTTATCTGTGTTTAGCCATGTGGGATCCTGTCTGTAACGGGGCTCTATAGTGCTAGAATTCAGATTATTTAAATCAGTCTAAGATCTTATTAAAAGGTATGCAGAGTAGTGGTTAACAGCATTGATTTGAATCTGGACTGCCTGGGTTTAAAGCTCAGTATTTGTACTTAGCATTAAGGTGACTTTGAGAAAATTACTTATCCTTTCTTTGCCTCCTTCCCCATGGATAAAATGAAGTTGATAATATTTACCTCATAAAGTAGTCTCGTGAGGATTAAATCAGTAAATGCAAAGTGTTTAGAATAGACCTTGTACCAACAAATTCTATATAAATATTACTTAGTATCATTGTCTGTTTTGGCAGTTGCTGAAAATCCTTATGTTACAACCGTTGAGTCTTGAATGCACAAAATGCCTGTGATCAAGACTGGGTACAATTTTTTTTTTAAAAAAGTTTTAGGCAGTATAGTTAAACCTTAAATTTTTTTTTTCTTAAAAGATGACCAGTAAGGGGATCTTAACCCTTGATTTGGTGTTGTCAGCACCACGCTCAGCCAGCGAGCGAACTGGCCATCACTATATAGGATTCGAACCCATGGCCTTGGTGTTATCAGCACCACACTCTCCTGAGTGAGCCATGGGTCGGCCCTAAATTTTTGTTCTTATTTGATAGCTAAAGTTTCAGGCAGAAGAAATTGAGTGGGCTTGTGAATTTAATATTAAATCTAAAGTACATTGTCAACATAATAGTATTACAGGGTTGATGTGTAGAAATGCTATTAGGTGCTCATAGTGTTTCCCGTTGACTGTATCTTTTTCCTCCCAGTGACTTTAGTATCAGTGTCTATTTGTCCTTTAGTAAATGAATGTTGCCATGAATCTTCTCTCTAACTGTCCACAGATTCTGTGTGCTGCTTTGGGCCACAGTGGTCACTTCTTTAAAGCACAAAGAGGAAATTTAGGGCTTCGCCAATTTGGCGTTAGTTCCCTATGTTTTTCAGTTTTGTAGCTATGGAGAGCATTGCTTTCCATACACCTGAGCATTTCTTTGGTATGTTCTATAGAGGTAAATCAACACACTTGAGAGAATGTGTGCTTTTTCCATTGCTAGCCCTTATTGTAGACATGTATTTTAGTGTTTGCAGTAGATAAAAGTGTTTATCTGTTAGTGTTAGTGTTCGGAGATAACTGTTGTTCTTATTTACTTCTGCTATTCTGTAATGTTTCCCAACAATATTCAGAGCCCTTTCCAAAATGCAGGATGTTTTATTTATCAGGTATTTACTGAGTTTGATCACGAAAATCCACTTGAAAGGAATTAAGTAACAAAACAATTTCCATTGCTAATAGAATATGTATAGATATATTTCTCTAAAGTACTTTTATTTCTTCAAAGAGTTAATAAGTAGAGGAGATTGATTTTGTGGTAAGTTTAAATGGAGGTTGAAAGGGTTAGTTTTAATCCATGTTGATCAAAGCTGTGAAATTAGGATAGAAAATCTATTTCTCAGCCTAAGGTAGTGCTGACATTTCTAGTAGCTTTTGTTTTCTTGGTCATTTCCTAAAATTCAAAGCAAGGATCAACCGATACCATTGTAACATTTCATAATGAACTGGGAGTATTATCAAGTCTAAAATCAAAACTTATTACTATTATAATAAAACATTTTAGGCCATTCATTCCATGTGACAAGGAATCCAGCCCATTTCCACTGAAGTTGGTATGTTTTAAAAGTTATGCTTTCTATTGCCCTAGTTTTTTTTGGCCTTTGATACCTTGATTCAGTGACATCAGTTACCTGTTGGTATATATACTTTGTACTCAGAATTATCATAGGTTTTGTGTTGTTTTTCATTCCCTGAGTTTTATTTCTCATGTGAACAAATCACATCTTTTTCTTGCTGTTCCATTTGCACAGTGTCACTCCTAGAGATGAGCTTCTTTATCCTGTGAGACATTGGAGGAAGCGTGGAATCCACTTGTGGAGCATTGCATTGACAAGTGTATTTTTGTAGTCATATAGTGGCAATATCAGGGAAATTATAGGATGGGTTAGTATTAGAGTTCAGCAGCCTGTAAATCCCATGACTTTCCAATCTCATGGGTCAGGAGAGCCTCAGGCCTGTGCTGCAAATGATACTTGCTCTTTAGTAAGGTGAAGGGTATTTTATAACTGTAATGGTATGTACAGTTCTTGAATATGTGTTGATTTCTAACAACTGCTGTCTTTCCCCCAGCCTGCTCCATTGCCAGTCTTTGTACATAAGCACAGTTTTGGACTCAGCTATTCATACTTATTTATGCTTTTACAACTTCTTCCTTTCATAAAGATTTTAACTGGTTATGACTTGAGTTGGAACAAGGGGAAAAAAAAGGGGGACCTGAAATGGTCTGTCTCCTGCCAACCAGAAGCTTCCTGTGGTCTCCAAACAGAATAGTTGCCTCAGTCTGTCAGCACTTCTATCTTTGAAGGTGGTTTCTGCTTGAAAATTGGTGACTGTTAGCTTAGCCTTATGAAAACTGCTACTCCTTCTTCTCTTGGAATAATTTTTTTTTTTCCCAGACACTTTCCTCTTCTTGTAGACTTTGTTTTTCCAGAAGATTCAGCCTGTGGTTAAAATGTTCTGGGTCCCCACAGGAACTTTTTGTAGGATTATCCAATTCTGGATAGATGACCCTCGCCAGATCACCAGTGCTAAAGAGGGCAAAAGGATCTTCTTGGTTAATAGAAAAAACCATTTTGGAATGAATCTCAAAGTCTAGAAACATCCAAACTTTCCTTCAGTACTTTTTTCTATTTGGGGTTACAATTTTGCCTAGTGTAAGTGAGGGAGGGGCTAGCTGGGAGGGCTTGTGTTTGAGGGGATCAGAAACAGGGGATTTAAGTGTGTCTTTTGTGTTTGCAAGGCACTAACACCACTCCCGTCTGTATTTAAATGCTGTCCCCAGGTTACGACTATGGCTATGTCTGCGTGGAGTTTTCACTCTTGGAAGATGCCATCGGATGCATGGAGGCCAACCAGGTTGCTTTATACTTCGGTCAAATGATGCTGGAAGGATATATTTTTTTATGTATGGGGAGGGAGGATTTCAAATGATTTAACTTTGGAAAGGTATGAGAAAACTCTCTTTGGAGCATACCACATTTCAACTAAAAAGCGGTTGTGAGGAGAAACAAAAGGCTAGGAAGGTTTCTCTAGAAGAGTTAATGGGCACAGAGTGTATTTTAAAAACTAGACCCCAGTTGTAGTTGACTGATTCCAAAGATAGTAAATGGAAAAAAATGGCAGAACTGGAGTGCTTCCCTTTGGAGTGTGAATGAAATGGGGATTCTGATGCAAAGAATAATCCTTTATTGTTTGTGACACCAAGGATCTGCCTGGCATGGGAATTCTAGGTCAGTAGTTACACCCAGACCTAGGGTGAAGACCACTGATGGTAACTCCTGTGGCACTCAGGTCCTGCCTGCATTTGCTACTTTGAGAGAGGAGTGGATTTTTGGTGTCTGTTGTATTCATCACTTGTTCTTTGCCAATTAGAGTTGCATACTCAAGTCCTTGGGCTGCATATAGTCATACTATGTTGGAACCATCTGGAGTTATTCAGCTTGCCATCTAGAATTGTCATCTGTGTGTTTTAGTGAACCCTGCCTGGTAGTTTTGGGAGGAATTACTAAATCCTTCTTGTCATGGTGTTTCCTTGGGGAAAGTAGTTTTCTTTTTGGTGTCTCAGTTCCTCCATCTGTAAAGTGGGAAAAAAAGCTTAGGGATATAGTTTGATTTTTATGTACTCCCTGACTATACTTAACAGTATGAATGCAGTGTGCTCAAAATCTTACATGCTGTAAATACTCTGGAAGTAAGCACCAATTAAAGAAAACTTTTTTTTTTTTTTAAAGATGACCGAAAGATGTCATCTTAAGGGGATCTTAACCCTTGACTTGGTGTTGTCAGCACCACGCCCAGCCAGTGAGCGAACCGGCCATCCCTACATGGGATCCGAACCCGGGGCCTTGGTGTTATCAGCACCGCACTCTCCCGAGTGAGCCACCGGGCTGGCCCTAAAGAAAACTTTTGATGTATCTTTACCTATTGTTAGTATTATAAGCACTGTCAGATCCTCAGAGAATTTAACAAGATTCTCATTGACTGTTCAGTGTTCATCGCTGAATCAGTCATGTAACAAATACTAATTATGTGTTAGAAACTGTGTAAGCAACATGTTCTTGTCAGTAGATTGTCATTAAGTCCTTTGCCACTGTACTAAATATTGTGAGTGGTGGAAATAGAAATGGAGGAACCATGGCAGATGCTATCTGTTTTGTATCGTTCTCTCAAATATGTGTTTCTCCTAGAACGGTGTCACTTTTTACCAGGGCTATTTAATCTTCGATCTTAAAAATATCAATTTTGGGGGCCGGCCCGGTGGCGCACTGCTACGGTGCGCCGCTTGGGAGTGCGGTGGCGCTCCCGCCGAGGGTTCGGATCCCACATACAGACCGGTTCCCGCTCACTGGCTGAGCGAGGTGTGGGGGCAACGCTGAGGGTTGCGATCCCGTTGCCGGTCCCGGTCCGGTGCGGGCGCAGCACTGAGGGTTGCGATCCGTTGCCGGACACGAAAAAAGACAAAAAGGAAAAAAAAATATATATATATCAATTTTGTCTCTTAACTGACCCTTCCATCCCAATGAAAAATCCTGACTAAAGTATCTAGCCCCCTGAAGAATGTGTCAAATAGAACTAGGGCAGCCTTCTTTAAAAACAAGGCTTACCCATAGGCAGGTTTTCTGTTGGAGCCACATCTGGAAAAATGTTCATATACACAAACAGCATTGAGAGGAGGTGGTTTATAGACATTTCTCCCTCCACCCTCCCAGTCATTCTGTGAACATTTTTAGGGCTCCCAGATCCCTGATGAATGACCCTTCCTAGTGAATGGAACAATAGAACAAAGCAGGAGCAGAGGCCAGTATTCTTCCAGGTGTGAAATACTATAGAGTATTTTGAAAGGTAGCCATCCTTATGCATAGGGTACCATGTGACACTCTATTTAAGAGTATAATTAAGAGATAGCCTCTACCTTCTAGGTTTTATAATCTCACACTAAGAAACGAGGCAGAGATTATATAGTACTCATGGATCCCATAGGGTACTCTCCTAAACTCCAGATTTTTGTTTGATCTCAGTATTCACTGGAGTTATTCCTTAATAAAACATCTTCCATATCCTTATTCAATTAACCCAATTTCCTAGGTTTTTATTCTTCCCCTAGTCATAGACTGCTGGCACTGCCAAACACTGGAATCCTCTCTTGTTGAACTTCGTGATCAAATCAGCATTCTTTTAATAACCTTTACTACAACCCAGGGTGTGTGCATATCATTTTTTTTTTTTTTTTAAAGATGACCGGTAAGGGGATCTCAACCCTTGGCTTGGTGTTGTGAGCACTATGCTCAGCCAGTGAGCCAACCAGCCATCCCTATATAGGATCCCAACCCACGGCCTTGGTGTTATCAGCACCACACTCTCCCGAGTGAGCCATGGGCCGGCCCTGTGCATATCATTTTGATGGAAACTTTTTTTTTTGGTGGCTGGCTGGTATGGGGATCTAAACCCTTGACCTTGGTGTTGCAACATCACGCTCTAACTGACTGAGCTGACTAGCCAGCCCCGATGGAAACATTCTTGAGAATGAGATCTCCAGGGAAATTTTTGTACTTAGGTAGTAAAACATAAAAAAGAGGGGTGCAGGTTTTGGAGTCAGATGGTAATTTCCAACTGGGTTACCTCCAGCAAGTTTCTTGACCTCCTTCAGCCTCAATTCCTCTGTTCCCAGTATCTCATGGGGCCCTGGTGTAGATGAAAAGAGATCATTCATTTATGAGTGGCTGCTTTGTGCCAGTCACCTTTTTGGATGCTGAGGATCCTGCAGGGAACAAGACAGACTATATAACTTTATTTTTTAATGGGGGAAGAGAGCACATGAAGAGTGACATTACGTTTGAGTAGCGGCTCTTGGTGGATATGTGCAGAACACTTAGCATAGTACCTGGTACTTGGTAAGCATCTGAAATGAGATGATCATGTCCTTCTTTCCCTCCCTTCCCCTTCCTCCTCATGTCAAGTAATTTCTAATCATAATTCCAGGAAAATAAATTTATTTTTATATCCGGTGTTTATTAAAACTAATGTGTTAAGGAAATGGATGTAGAGTAAGCTCCTTATCACACAGTAGTTAAGAATCTTGGGAGATAAATAAGAATGTGAAAGAAGTCCTGACTCCTCAGAGTGAATAAAGTCAGTGTTTATGGAAGAGGAAATGTTTCTGTCTATCCATTCTCTTTTCCTCCAAGTTTTACTTACAAACTAAGTTGGTACAAATTCCAAGTCACCAGGATCTGCTGGGCACCCCTAAGTAGAACCTGAGTGTGTGTATGTATGCTTCTGAGGAGGTTTCTATGAGATTCTCCAAGTTTTACTTACAAACTAAATTGGTACAAATTCCAAGTCACCAGGATCTGCGGGGCACCCCTAAGTAGAACCTGAGTGTGTGTATGTATGCTTCTGAGGAGGTTTCTATGAGATGCTTTGGGTTTAGTTTTTTGTAACTCTTTACTACCCTGACTGTTGATGTAAAATGTCTTTTGTTCATCATTGATACTTGTAGGTCTAGGGGATGGGAAAAGGAGCCTTCTGCCAGCTTGCTTTGTCAAATATTATGAGTTATGTGTGCCTTAGTGAAGTTGCTCAGGATGTTAACCAAAGCTCTTCTAGCCCTTTCCCAGTGCCTGCATGAAAGCACCAAACAGTAGGACACCCTGCAGCAGTACTGAACATTGTGGCCAGGGGGACTCATCAGGTCATCACTTAACCAGCAACTGCCTGTCTGGGGAAGTAATTTCCAGCAGGTATGAAGGTATGAATCTGTTAGCTCATACCTTCACTGTCTCTGTCTAGGATAAGGGGCTAGCCAGTGAACACTGAGGCAGAGCCCTTCATTCCAAAGAGATATTTTTTCTCCATACATAAGTGTAACGGGAAGCATATTTCTAGCAGTGTCATATGCCCTTGGCTTGCTTTGTTGTACAAGTTCCTGGGGATTGAGGGTGAGTATCATCTCCTTTTGCTGTGTGCCATTGCACTGGGTCATGGGGAATGGAGTAAGAAGCATTGTGTTAGAGTATCAGTCCCTTTCAGTGGTTTCCCCATTGTGAGTACTAGCCCTCTCCAACTGTTGGCATTTGGTCTGCAAGAATGTTAGGATTTTATTTTCTCATATTTGTTGGTGTGATGCTTGTTGCCTGTTCCTGTTTGGCCAAATATTCACTAAGATGCCCTTATAAAAGATAGCTCTGAGAGAATTAATTTCTCTGGAATTTTTACTCAACTTTCTTTATAACAGAACGAGCCTGACTTTCTAAAGTGCAAGGAAAAAGATGCTTTTATCACCTAACGTGAAAATTCCTTTAGACACTGGCTTTTCTGGTATGGAGAATGAAGACTGTGGAATGCATGAAGTTTTAGGAAATAGTGTTTTTTTGTGTCAACAAAGTTAAGAGAGTTTGGGTTATTGAAGATACCAGACGGCCAGGGTGTTTGTAAAGGTATGTAAAAGAAGCCAAATCTTAAATGTGGTCTGTCCTTGTGATTAAAATTAAGCAATAGAGAAAGTTTATGTTCTTGGGGATGGGAAGACTATATGTGAGGCCGTGATGGAAAAAAATTGGTAAAGACCCAAATTGTTGGAAATTTACTCAGGTTGGTAATAATGACATAATATTATCTGATATTATCATCAGTACTTAAATTGCATGCATTCCAAGTAACAACCGCCCCCCCCCCCCCCAAAAATTTGATAAAACCCCCGAAGGGGGGGTATATATCCCCAAAAAAACCCCCCCCCCCCCCAATAATCTGTATAACTACCTGGAAGGTTGTGATATATCACGTAAACAA